GATAAGGAGATATTASGGTTTAAACGGGCCTTGCATTGACTGAAGCCAATACATGACAATTTAGAGGGACCAAAAAACAAAATGCAAAAGAAAAAAAAGAAAAAACAGAGAAAGAATGATGTGTTTAGGTTTGACAGAAAAGGTAGGGAAATCTTTACCTTTCCCTACTTGTATAGATTTCCCTACCCTTTCTTTCAAACCAAACACAGCTTAATAGATTATGTRTTAAACACATGCAAAAATTAATGAACGTACAATAAATGGAAGTTCTCACTATAGCTGTAACTCTGTGGGCCAGGAGCCTGGGACAACTCCGGATCTCCTGCCCACGTGAACCCTGCCCACCCCTACCCACAATACACTATCCCCTATGAATTGAGAACATCTTCCCCTGCATAATACTATGTAGAGGATGAGATGTTCTCCATGTATGGCTGAGATAAATGTGGGCAGAGTTCTCCTAGGCAGGAGATCCGGWCTCACCTGGGACGCTCTAGAATGGCAATCCCAATCTATTTACATTTGCTAGAGAAAGACAACTTTTTTTTTCAATCAAGCATAATTTTTTTTTTAATATTTTCTGTATTCAACCAAAAGAAAAAGCTTTTCTAGTTTCTTGTCATTTTTTATATTTTGTGTTATAGATGTAGGGCCACATGGTACATTTGAGCACTGTATATATACCTATATTATTATTTTGATTGATAACAAAAAGGATAAAATTGAAATTATTTTGATTGATAACAAAAAGAATAAAATTGAAATTTGTAACCAAACGGTTCAGCACTTATTCTCATCCTTGCCATGAAAAGAATTAATATTTTTGGGAACAAGAGTGTTTGTTGGCAACAACATTTTCTTATTCTGTCCATTTCTATACATTTTTGTCCATTATAGAATTTTATTATCAGAAAGAAAGAGCAAGAATGGGATTTGAACCAAAATGGGCTTAATGATGATGGTAGTTTTCTTTCTTTTTTTTTATTTTTTTGCTAAATTACGTTAATAATTAGGGGAGGAGAAAGATTTAAAAATTTCCAACAGTAACTGCATGAATTTTGATTAGGGGTGTAAACAGATCAAGTTCAAACTGAATCAGGTAATATCCGAATTCAAATCCGATTAGAAAATTTGATTTGATATCCGACAGATATTGGAAATTAATATTCAAATTCGATTAAATATTTGAGTACTCAATTCGATTTGAATTCGACCAATTAATTATTTTAGGTAATTAATAAATATATAAAATAAATATTTTATTTATATAAATATATAAATTATTTATATAATTTAATTATTATATATATATAAATTATATAAAACATTTAAACATTTAAATATTTTATATATTATATATAAGAATTAAATAATTGATCGAATTTGAATATTTATCAAATCGAATCAGGCCATATCCGAATTTGAATCCGATTAGCTAATCTGTATCCAAATTCGACTGATTAGATATTTGGATGATCCAAATTCAATTCAATTACGTTGAATATCAAAATTGAAATTAGATCTTTGAATGCCATTGACACCCCAAATTATCTTCWTTTTTTGGGTAATGAGCTACACAACCAGGGAATTTAGATTAGCTGAGCACTTTAATTGTCCAGCGGGCTGTGGAATCAATGATAATGCCCCATGCCTGCAACAAAATACATGGGGCCCAGATTGAGAGGTTGACTGACCCATGTATTTTATGACTGATGTGCAGTGTGATTATTGGTTCCACGAACAACTACTGTATTCAGCTAATTCTATCTCACAACTAGGGGCAGCTCTCTCCCAAATCCCTACACCCCATCCCGAATGAAGGTGGGACTCGACCCAAGGTCTAGATGGATCAAGGTTTTATTGCAATCAGAGTGATGTTCAGAAACAAATAATCCTAGGATTTGCTATATTCATCGTCACTTCAATAGCATTATGCCATATGACTTGGAACGGATTAAAAATCAGAATGCGCAATGGGTCACACAGTTTTACCGGTTAATTGAACAATTAGCCTGTTCAGTTCATGAAAACCATCTTTTAATTAGTCAGGACTTAGAATCATGATTTTCAAAACCGGATTGGACCGGACGGTCAAACTAGAAAAACCAGGAATCTGTCAGATGACCGGTTCTGTTTTACCTCAGAACCGTTATTTCCCCCAAAGCCGTTAATTTGGTCAGCAAATCRCTGATTCGGGCAGTCGAATCATTCAAACTGTTCAACGGTTTTGTTGGTTTTTAATTTTTTTTAATTTTTTTATTTTTTGTTAGAACAGACTGTCCATTCGGTTCAAATGGTCGAACCATTCACTGGAAACCAAACCCCTGACCAATTCGTTGTCCAGGTCAGTTTTACAAACCTTGCCTAAAATAACTACCGGGTTTTGATTCTTATAATGTGATCATCTGGTCCAATCCGAGTCTAAAGTTTTGGACTAGGTTCTAATGTTTAGGCAAAATTTACTGTATCATGTCTTTCCCGCTATCCCGATATCACAGTCAGGCTTTAAAAGAAAGAGAAAAAAAATTGTACCCCAACAAATTTCTGAGACCAGCCACCCTCTCCATGCCTTGATAGAAGCAATTGATGTAATAACAAAAGTAGCAACAATTTGGTCTCTAATATACATCTTTGTTGAAGGCTGGTTTAAATTTACTTTTATATCATAATTCATAGCGACCCAAATGCATTTAAATGAACAAAATCTCTATCCGAATATCTTATGCTTTCTTATGAAACATGATATCAAATCAATACAGGAAAACGTTTTAGAAACTGGAAATTCAATAATGTGTTTCTGATGATATGAGTTTTGGGAAACAACGCAATTAGACCTTTTTATGGGTCAGCCTTCCGATTTGGCCATAAACATTTTACACTATTTTGAGTTCGGGCTTTAGGTCAGACCCATTTAAATTTTGACAAAAAGAAAAAAAAAAAGTTAAATTGAGCCTGGCTCATGAACAATCATTCAATGAAAAAAAGGGGTCATTTACTGAAACACCCCTATGGTTTCATGGATTTACTTAAATTTATCCTATAGTTTTTATTTTACTAAAACATCCTATAGTTTGCAACGTATTTGCTTAATTGACCTTTTATTAAGAAGTGTTTGTTTTTCATCTGAAAATAGTAACATTATAACCTAAATTGAGTGGAAAATATTCAAGGGCATGGTCCCATGGCTGTTTATTCCAAAAGTAACTCTAATACTTCTTCATACAGAAAATAAAATTGACCAAATAGAACCAAATAGAGTGGTTGCTCATATCTTACTAGGTGCAAAAATGGTATTTTTATTTTTATTTTGATTGAATTTATTCAAATGAACATTAGAGTTAAAGCTGTCATTTTTTTACTGTCATCTAATGAAAGATCGATTAAATAAATGGATTGTAAACTATAGAATTGTTTTAATAAAATACAAACTATAAGGTGGGTTTTAGTAAATCCAGGAAATTATAGGGGGTGTTTCAGTAAATGACCAAAAAAAACAAAAAAAAGAAAAAAAAAAAAGGTTCACAACCAAGAATCAGGCAACATCCCCTTGTATTTGACGAGATACAGAGAAGAAAAGAATTGTCAAATAACTAAATGGGCAGAAATATTACCTTTACAAAGTTGGCTCCCGACGTATTGTTTTTATATGCTCAACCTTTCGGCTCAGGTTGAGTACTATTCTTCTTTGAAGGTGGATTGTATGACGCAGTACTGGACGGAAAACATAGAAATAACGATCAGTAACCTATGATATATATTAAACAACAGAGAATTAATGGAAGTTCTAACACTGTTACCTGCAATTCTGTGGGACACTCCATGACATTTCCGATGTCGTCTCCACACTTGCAGCAGAAGAAAAAAATTTTTTCCAGTCGTCAAGCATAACTCTAAGATCGTGGAGCTTGTTATCCAGACCAAAACAACAATTCGCGTGCATTGTACAGACCCTATTCAAATCTCTGCTGGGTTCACAAAACCCACCAAAATAAGCAGTATCCAAAAACCTAATCGTCAATCCAATCCTTTGGACCAGTGGATCGTATTTAATCAAGTTTAACACATCCTGATCATGTGTTCCAGGAAATGTCTCTCTGGAGGAGTACCAAAACTTGTAGAATTCTATGGTTCTGTTATTGGACTTGACATACATAAACCCTGTATTTGGACCGTTGTCTAAATCAGTGGAGTTGCCTGTAAAGTGATCACAAGCAACCTGAAAATCTGCATCCAAATAGAATTGTGGGAATGGGTTTCGGAACCACATTATATCACCATCCTGAAAACACAAATCAACCAAAATGAATTGTGCAGAAATGGCAAAGGTTAGGACGATATCCAGTTTCCCCATGTTGTAGAAAACCTAGAATTATCAACAATATTATTATTAATTCTTTCCAACATTTCTACACTTGGCTGTTCAATAAAAAATAATTTCCATTTAAGTAAATACTCCATTAAATACTATTTTATAGTATTTTAAATTTTTATTAGTAAAAATGTTAAATATTATAATTTGAAGCAAAAAAATGGTTTTTTTGGTGAAAATTAAGTTATGACCAACCATCTTAGACTGAACAGTTTTTTATCAAATGGCGAATTTCATATTTATCGAACCCAAAATCTTGACTGGGACTGGGTGACGGTTCGAAAGATTCAAACGGCCAGGTAGAAATAAGTAGTAAGTGGTAAGGTTTTCTCATATCTTATCTCTTTAGATTCTAGAATTCCACCGTTATGCTTGATGGACAGCTTGACTATGACAATACAAAATAAATTCTAGAACCAAACAATTGATTCGGGTGCATGCCGCCCAAGCATACTAAATTTCCAAGCTGATATTGACTTGTGAGTTTGAGCAAATTAAAAAAGAAAGATCGATGATGTAAAAAAGACTTAGAGAGATGATGAGTAGTGCAATCAAAAGGGGGCGAACCAATTGATAAAACAAAACCGATAAACATGGGCAAGAAACAGGGAACTGAAGGGAGTGTAGGTACCGAGAAAATGAAGCTGTATCCCATCTCGAGAACTGATCGTAGAAAATCGATTTTTCTCAACACCATTTTCAAGTAATCACTTGTCATGAAATATGCTTCTGATCCTGAGAAATCTACTCCTTCAGTGACAAGAGCAAAACAATAGGTATGAACAGCTAGACAACGAGTGTAAGCCTTTTGGTCTAAGGCGACAATTATCAAATGGTTCAATAGCCAACTGGTATTATTTCCAATTCGGAAGCTCTCAATGAAGATATCAATAATCGAGCCAGGTGACGCCCAAGCTTCATTTAATGGAGCTAAGATAACAGTTTTATCCTCCATAGCTGCCTTCTTCAAAATACCGTCTAGGCTCAATTCCTTGGTATCCTACAAAAGTAACTTACTTTATCAGAAGCAAATAAGCCAAATAAATCATCATATTGTAACTAACATATCCAGAAGAGATCAGATAATCACTCATGTTAAGAAATTAACGAGACACTGACATACAAAATGCTCTTTGGTATTTGCAGACCCAGAGACCCTATCTTCCTCTCCAATATATTCGACAGAGAGAGAGAGAAGGTTGGATAAATTTTGGAGAAGAGCATGAACCAAATTTGAAAATTCCCCTTCAAAAACATCAGTAAGAAAGAAACAAGATGAAGGCAATTAGATTTGGCCTTTCATATGGATAAATTCCACGAGTCAAGGTTTGGAACTTCTCCCAAACCACCAAGTACCATCTTATGTTTGCCACGTGGAAGGATGATGTGGCAAATCCAAAATCGTCCATCAAATGCAAAAGATTCGTGATTGAGATTTGTGATTTGTGATTGGAGCTGATACTTTTACACAGGAGAAAGCCTGTGGGACATTACAAACTCTCTTGTGGTCAAAGTTATTGACCATCGATCCATGCATGTTGATCGATATTCGATGACCATCCAGAGCAAATGTTAACTATGAACTAATCCATGGCCCAGCCTTGCACTGTGATATGCCATGAGATCATCACCTCTCTCCCCAGAAACAGAATGGTTCCTTCTCTACGACTTACAGATATTACAAACCAACGATCAAGATATGGTGTACGAGAGAGAGAGAGAGAGACTCACCGGCTGTGATGTATTAACAGCATCGGGGGAGAAAACTTGGTTGACAGTGGAAGAAGAGCGACCGAAGGGTCGAGGTAAGATAACATAGGAATAGGTCTGAGTATTGTAGATAAAATGACAAGCAAATGCAACTACAGCAAAGGCGATCAAGAGCGTAAGAATCCGGCGGACAGGAGAACCGGAATCCGATAACATTTCGGAGATGATTCCACGGGCAGAGCTGATCGTTTGCATCAGCGTAGTCGGTCGTACGTCTTTCGTCTGAAATCTGAATAACGATGAGGGCGGCTTCACACACACACAGACGAGGGTTTTTGGTTGTTGGCCTTTTCATGATACGACTTCTTCTGTATCCAATTTTTTTTTCTCAGATTTTATTTTTAAAATCGATGACTGCTACCAGACGGCAACATTAAAACACACGGAGAATACCACCCAATCAAGTTCGGTTTCTTTCTCCATCCAAATGCGAGCTTTTGGACATTTTAATTTTCAACGTGGCCAAGTCCACGTACTGAACTTACGCTGTAGCCTGTAACTCTGTAAGAGAGAGATGGAGATGGATAGTCATTGACTCATTGCCTCATGGGCCTTGCCTTATACTATACAAAGGCTACCGTGATTGTCAGCCAGTAGTGACACGTGGCAGACTTGTAAATGCCCCGGTCCCACACCATCGTGACAGTTCCATTTGGTGCTGGTGGGACCATCTTCTATTTACCATAACTGGGAAGCCTGTAGAGTGTAGATGTTGTAGGATCAATGGGAATTGGAGTCGGAAATGGGATTCCAAAGAGCATTCCCTCAAATGCTGGTGGGACCATCTTCTATTCCGTTTGATTTGGAGTCGAAATTGGAATTGAAATAGTGTATTCTCATAGTTTGTTTGGTTCATACAGAGATGGGAATGAGATTTCATTCTCAAAGAGGGATAGGGAATGATCATTCTCTCAAATGGAAGGAATGCCATTCCAACAGAAATTGAAATGAGATTCTATTCCATCTAACTAAACAGTTGGAATCGGAATAGTCCATTCCAATTCCAATTCTAGACTTTATTCCCACAAACCAAACGGGCCCTTAGACCATTTTCCATATCGAATGAGTAGAAGAGGTGGGCTTCAAAGATAGCCAATGCCGATATATAACAGGCTTTATAATTCAATCAGTGTTGAACACATTAATTTACAAATTCTATGTAACGAAAGTAAAAGCATAGCGAAAGTGTAGAAGTAGGTTGATCTATACGCATTTTGTGCCTAATTTTTAAATGTTGTCACGTCATTGTCAAATCAATATTTATCCCATCATGTTAATCTATACGCATGGATATTCACAAAAGTATGTGCTTAATAATACCTAATTATCAATAAATGATTTATGAAATACTTTTTTCGGTTTTGAAAATATATCAAATACAAAAATATAAATAAACAGAAATTATATTAAACACCTTCAAAGTTTTGGTAAGTTTTAACGACCAAAAATTAAGGTGATGGAAAAAAATACTCGAAAATGACAAAAAATGCCAAATTTTGAGAATCTTTAAATGAAGCTTTTTTGTTTTTACGTGTGATAAATCGACTCTAAATGCAATATAATTGTAAAAGACTTGGGTAGACTATCAACTGGTCTTTCCCTTTAAATACAATATCCCAAAAGCTTCCTACACCTTTGGCCATTTAATATGTACAAAGATCTTTCTAAAAGACCTACCAAAAGATGCCATTACTAAGAGTTTAAAATAATAGAAGAATATTGTTGAGGAAAGTAGGCATTCTAAAGTCTAAACTCTTAGTCTGTATGTGCATAAATTGTGTCGGGATCTCTTAATTATTTTTACCTACCCACATGACATCACATCACAGCTGTACATCAATAATGATACTATGTATTAAGTATAGTATATTATTATAGATAAGTGTGGAAGGGGATCCAGAGTCGCTTAAATTGAATACTATATAACATAGTCAGAGTTTTATGGTCAGATCCAACTCGTAATTTATATGTATGGTTTCTTCTCATAGAAGCAATRCCGAATACTAAGTCAACTCGTCTGGCTTCACGTTACTGTATCTGATTCTTTGGCATGGAATACGTAAGTCAGTCATGTTCCACTGTTTTGACCAACATATCTGGTAAAGTTTGTCCAATACTTATTACAATCATTTTTTTATATAAACAAGAAAAAAAAAAAGAATATTCTTTATAATTAAGCATTACGCGTTATATTTTAGTAGATATACACAAGGGAAGGACTTTCATTAACTATGGGCAAAAGTGCTACCTTCACAACGATGCAAATTGAAATTGATTTCCTATTTTCAATCTTTCCACTTGTTTTGATTATGGAAGGATGGACGCAATGATCACTGATATATTATACCATGGTTTTCAAATTCGAACCGGAGGTTGGATCAGAAAAACCAAGAATCGGTCAGGTGATCAGTTTTGTTTTATCCTAGAATTATTATTTTGTCAAAATTCATTGATTTGATCATTAAACCATTGATCTAGGTTTGAATCATCCAATGGTTTTAACCGTTTTTTAATTTTTTTTTGTCAAAATGGGCTGTTCATTTAATTTGAATCGTTCAATCATTTGATCCGAGAACCAAACCCTTGATCGATTTGTTATCTGATTCGGTTTTAAAAACCTTGTCATATAATTTAATCAACAGAGAATTAGTGAAAGTTCTCACTTTACCCAACTCTGAATAGAAGTTTGAGTTTGAGAGTAGACATTCCCTCGCAAGACTCTACATAGCTATTTAGCTATTAGCCTAAGACCAACATTGGGTAATTAATGACCTTTTTTAGTGTCCTAGCAAAATTTCTTGAAACTCATTTGTCAATCTACCAGAATGAATATAGAAGTTTCCCACCGTGATCTATTAGCTAAATTTTACAAGTTAACAAAGGATGACAGCATTCTTTCTCAGCATATCACAAGAAAACCGCAATAAGAACTCTGATACATTTGTATTTGTATACTTTCCAAACACAGCCTAAGAAAAATTAGAAAGTCAATACACTTAACACTTCTTGACTAATGACAATACTAAAATTCCATAATTTAAAATTTCTTATTGGGTATTCAATGGTACTTAATTATCTTTATTGTTG